GGGCGGGCAGGGGCGAGCCCGAGGGCGGCCGCCGCGGGCAGGAATAGGCAGGGTTTCCCCGCGGTCCCGAATGAGCGTGCGGAGGCCCTGCTGGAAGTTTGCTTTTCCCGAAAGCGTGACCTCCCTTTCGACCCCTAAGTTACAGATTTAGGACTCGCTCTTTAAAAGTACTGGCTGACGTATTTGATGGAACCACGCTTTGAGGGGTCTACACAAATCCATACTGCGTAGTACTGCTTAGCATCCCTTCACGTGGGGGCCCGGTATACAGGAGCCAAGGAATATTTTATGCTAGTGTAATTCCTATCTAGCTTCCCCATAAGCTATAAGACAGGTTTTCTTCTGCCTCCTTTCTGCCCCATACATCTACATCTGCTCCCTGCTCTGCCCACCTGCCGCTCTCCGTGTTGACCTCATCTACCCACCTGTAGTCCAGAAGCCTTTGCTACAATTAAAAGGGTATCAAATCGCACATTCCAATATGTGCTAAGGCTCTGATGAAGATCCACACAAATCCCTATGCCTACTGTTTCCTATTGACTAATCAAGCCCTAAGCAGTGCCTAGCAGAAAGGAAATACTAATTTTTACTGCCTGCTAGTGGTTGCACTGAATGTTATCCTTCACCTTCCGTGGGCTTACAGAGCATCTGCCAGCTGAGCACCTGGTGCCAGATCAATTTTTTTCTTTCCCTTTAGCTCTTTATTTCACTTTTTCATGCCATTCTGTTATTCCATTTACTATCATATTCTTTCCATTTCCCCTCTCGTCTCTTCCTTTTTGTTTCTATCTTGCTGCTTCTTTCTCATATTCATTATTTGTTGCTTGCTGAAACTCAGCTCTCTGCTTGGCTGATCACTGAGGTGCTTAAAAATAAAAAAAATGTCCTGGCTGCACAGGTACCACAGTCACACGGTCTCACCAGGGAAATGTCCTGCTCTCTCTTCCTTTCTTCTTGCTCCTCCCCTGCTGCTTCTTCCCACTTCCCTGGTTCTTCTATGTGGTCTCACTGCTTTATTTCCCCCTGGTTGCAATTACCATGGCCCACAATTTCTATTCTTATTCTCTTTTTCTTCTTTTCCTCCACCTTGTCCCTTCTTCCACCCCAAACCCCCTTCATTTCCACATAGCTACAGATCACCACTGGTCTCCTTATTTAGAGACCAGTTTAACCAGACCATCCAGGGAATGAAACTGTTAGGCCAATCTTTCCCAGTCTTGCAGCCAGGCCCTCTCTGATCTGTCTCTCCTGTCACTGTAACTCATGCCCAAGATGATACTGCAAGTGTATCCGGCATTCACAGAGTATCATTAAATACAGCAGCAGAAGCCTGGCTACGGCCTGTGTTCTCCCCAGAGTGCCATATAACACTGCAGCGACCGAGTCTCAGGCACGTGGTTCTGACTTACATTTACCCTGCTTTATTGTCAGCCACTCAGACAACAGGCACTGCCTGGGGAGACAAAGGAGCCCCTCTATTTTTATACTTGTTTTCTGACTTTGGAATATGGAAGCTCCACCAGAGGTCCTGTAATTGTCACAACATGATGCTTGAACTATGAACATGAAACTGTCTGAAGGGCAATCTGCTTAAGGCACAGTACTACGTTTTTTTGCTGTGACTAGCACTGGTATTTTCTTTAAAAAGATTTTCCTTGTTGATATGAAAACTTTACTTATGAAAACATTTTTATGATAAAAATACATTGTCAGTGTTCCAAAAGGGACAGCTAGACCCACGAGCCCCATTTGTCCAGTACTCTCTCTAGCAATTTCTTTTGAATTACAGAGACTGAGATACAATCATTTTTTCATGTAGCTCCTAGCTCCAAAGCTTACATTCTTCTGCCCTATTAATGCGACACTGCACGCACAATCTCTTGGTAACACATTATTCCCAGCTATACTTCAACACTTTGGCGAGTTGACACCTGCATTCTTGTACTCCCTGATGTTCCCATCCCATCTCACAGCTACACAAAAACTACTACTTGTAAACCATGCGACGGGTTCACTACCACGCAGGCAGCATTATGCTAGTGTGATGTACAAATTGCGACAAGCGTCTTCTCAGTGAGATGTTGAGGTCATGACGCGTGTGCCCTGGCTCCCCATTCTCCATGTCCAAACCAAGAACCAAAGACCAAGAGCCATCGGTATGGCTCCTTGTGGTTACGTGTTTGGCTCCAGTGCCAGATAAGCAGCAAGAGGGATCCAAATGCTTCCTGGAAGGGCCCTTCTAGTACATGATGAGGGGAGACTACATCTTGAATATTAAACCCGTTACTTGTGGAGTTTTTCTGAGGTCTGTGCAGTTTTGAGATGCTTATACGACATGAAACAGGCAGATGAAAGGCCTCTGGGGCAACTGACGCTGATACAGTTTTATCCAACACACATGGTCATGCTGCATGTACCAGTGCTGGGAGGAGATCAGCTCCCAGATGAAAAGCAGCTGGTTGTGATGTTTCAGAAGAGCTGAATGCGAGGGCAGGGTCTGCCCTGGCTGTGCGCTGCACTCCTTTAGCTAGGACTGGGCAGCAGTAGCCTGCAGCTGAGGCCTGGGGCCAGACTGCACCTGATCCCAGTCCCACGTAGCCACGTCTGTGAGTAATGCCTTCTGTTGCTGTGCTTGGCTAGGAGATGGTGTACTAGCGATGAATTATGCAACCTCAGTTATTCACACTTGTATTATATCTTGGCTGTGCTGCTCTTGGAAGCCTGCAGTTTCCAAAAAGTTTCCCAGAACTTGGGAGAAGCCAACTGGTACAGACGGGTGTAGCAAAACCTCCTCAGCAATACAAGCTGCGGGTACACAACACCCGTTCTCTTTCTGCTCAGTCTACCCAAAGACTATAAAGCTGAGTTCGTGGATCCTTATCTTTAAAACACTTTATGACCTGTGTCTGATGTCTCTAAAGGCCCTAGGAAGGTGACCTTGGTCAAGAACACCAATGAAAAAAGGCTTCTTACAGTCCGGCTAATATTTATCAACTACATTTTCCCCAAGTCAGCACTGGAAGTACGGGATAAGGTTCCACAGCTGCTAAGAAGAAATCCCACCAAAGGTACAAGGGACATTTGAGTTAGCCTCTTCACTGCTGACACCGTGTTGCAACGTGTTTATGAAACACGTATGTACAGTATTAAAAAAAAAAAATTCACTCTGCACAATTCTTGAGGGAACAAGAGCCATACCACGTGTGTGAGCTACTGCAAGATACCACCAGCAGTGTTAGTTCCTAGAAAAAAAACAAAGTGGAAAAAAATCTATTTAATCTACAAGAGACTTGACCAAATGAGGTCCTGGCCAGTACTAAAAAGAATGGAGCGTAGGGGCCACCTATTTTCAACGGCAATTCCTCTTGACAGAAGAGCGGGTCTGATTCCAAAGACCCCACCAGAAAAGGCTTGGGAGCCCAGCTGCCAGTTAGAAGACCCAGCCTAGAAGGAAAGGATGTTGCCTGTTCCAGCAGAGGACCAGCAAAGGACACACAACCTGTATGGATTTGCTGTGTATGAAGCTGGAGCGTCTCCCCACCATGGAAGAACAATGCTTATTTCAGGTCTGTGTATTTTCTTTCAGGCCTGGTTTGACCAAAAGTTGGCAGACTTAGCCTACACACATGTTACTGTCAGAAGTTTGTGAATCTCAAGCAGATTTTATGATCATCTATTTTCTATGTGTGCAGGAAAAGTACACATGGCTTCACTCGAACGCACAGGCAGTACGGTACTCTTTGCCTGCATGCAATTTTACAGATTTTATACAGCTTTCAGCTGAATCACATATCTCAATGCAAAGTATACCACTCTTGGATATCACATGGATTTTTAATGCTCTGAGGGATCCTTTGGGTCTATAAACAACAAGTAGATTACATTCATCTACATACTGTCAGACTTTTTTTCCCCTTACTTGTGAGAGAAATATGGCTCTTATTCTTCACTTGAGCTAGTATGTAATCCAAGTACAATTCATGGCTAGTTATGAGAAAAGTGTGCCGTATTTTTCATTGTAATTAACTGCTTCAGAGCAAGACTCCTCATGTATAAAGATGAAGAAAGGTCTCAGCTTTTCCTGAAAGACGACTTGCCTTTCAGCAATGTGTCTCACACTTTGAGTTTTGACTGAAACATTCCACTACTTTAGTGACCTGTTATGCCAAAAAAGCTGTCTTGTGTTACGCTTTACTTTCAACTGAATGTGCTGGCACATGCCAAGAAACAGAACAAAGTATTGCAATATATACTGGAACACTATTTTGTGCTGCTCCGCACATGAAATTGATGTCAGAAAAAATTGCACAAAGGGCATGGAAAATGTGAATAAATACTGTGATCCTTTTACCTTCAGTTTTAAATAGATGGATTGAAATGCAGGGATCCTAAAGATTTATGCATCCGTTTATAGTCCATTCTGGAGTTTTAACATTTCATGCAGCTTGTAGGAGGGAGTGTATTATTTATATAAAGTCATGATTATTCAGCAGTGTTTATTCCTGAAGAGCAACAAAACGTCTTCAAGGGAGAAGAAGAAATTCATAACTCTGGTTTACTACCAGGGTTAGCCAACTTAACAGTCTTATTTCATGATTGATTTACAAAGAGCTTTGCTCCTACAAGCACCTTTGTAACACTGGACATTTTGCTACCAGCAGTAGAAATCACCTCCATCTCCCAG